ATGATTCCAAATTTTGCTTTCGGGATGCCACTGTTTCCGAGAGTCTCAATCCTCGGCAACTTTGACCTATACGTCCGCGTGACTCTTTGATCAATGTAGCAGTCAATTCTATCTTACGCTCTTTGGCCGTAATTAAGATTTCTAATATGTTTTTGTTTTTCTTGTTTTTTTAAATTCAAGTGATCGTTCATTTGGCAAATTGAAGCTATGGACAAACTCAAGAAGAACGGCACAAGTATTTTCTAGCGTCATTGTTTCTTCCTTGTTTCTAGGATCAAAGCCGAGTGTACTTCCGAGATGCAATTAAAACTTTACTTTTTAGTCGATTTTCTGAATCTCACAATCGTTTTTATATGAATAGAAAGTAAAGACCTTGATTCTCAGCTATTCAAGTTCTTCTGCTGCTCAGAAACTTATGCTTGTTTTACGAAATTTTTATAGCCGTTAAGCTGCTCGTCGATCTTTTCTCCAAGTTTTAGATTTTTAGACTTAAAAAATCGCTGCTTTTTTACTTTTCAAGCTGCTGCGCCTCTGCTTAAAAAAAGCCACTGCTCTTTCTGCCACTCTGCTTTCTAAATTTTCAAGCTGCTGCCCCTGCTTGCTTTAAGAAAGTGTTTTAGTCTTTGCTTCTGCTTCCTGTGTCCCCCAAGTTTTAGATTTTCGAACCTACTATCGAACTTGCTCAATCTAATGACAATTGTTCCGATTACAGTTTCGCTGCTTCAAGTCAAACATCTCGGAGACTATGCTGAGGAGCTGCTTATTCTGGCCCACTAGTAAGTAAAAAACTTCTTTTCCACTCTATTAGAAAATAGTCTGTTCACCATCTTAGGAGTGGCCGTCCTTGTATGTTAAAAACTTTGGAGATCCAGAAGACTATCACAAAAGGCATATCAGGCTGGAGCAATTAGTATTTAGTCTCGCAGATTACCTCGCAGAGAAAAAACGCGGCCTCCTACGAAGTTGGAGCTCAGAAGATTTCCAGCAGAGCAGAAAAACAACAAGAAAATACCACAAAGTGTGTGTCGCTGTAGGCCTTGAGAGCTTGCTTCTGCTGTTTAACAACACGGATGAAAAAAATGGAAGAGGACGACTCTACGTACCCTCGGTCCAGATTGCTCGATTGTAAAGGTGGCCATTGCCTACTGTTGCTTCGTGTTAGCGCTCCAGCAGATAAAAAATACCCACGTCAGAGGCAAACATCCGGTGAATCCGCACCACTGGCTCCAAGCAGCTTCATCGAGATCGAGATCGAGATCATTCCTTGATGATATAGTATCACCCAAGTACGATCCCGGACAGCGTTGAGCTCTCGTCACGTTTCCGTCAATTACTCAGCATCCCATCTTTTGCTCCATGCCAAAGTTTGATGGACTGTCCTTGACTTCCAGAGCTCGGCTGGCCGACTGCTCCGCCTGGAGCGCCGCTTTCGACTTCTTGTGCTGCTCCATCGTCTTGGACACCTCCGAAACTTTGGAGTCAAGTGAGAATTTCTCCTCGAGAGGGTTGATCTTCGCTTGACTTAAGCTGGTAGCTCAAACTTGGTGCTTTGGAGGCCTGCTACTGTTTCCCTGTGCTGCTCGACCTGCTCGGAGATTTCGATATACTCCCAAGTTTTCCTGCATTTGACGGCCTCGAGCTGACCAATCCTTGCAGCCGGTTTCTCGAGCTCATTTCTCGTTCCTTCGACGTGCTTAGAACCTCTCGGACAGTTTGTTCGTGTTCTCTTCTCAGGGAATCGGCTTATTCTTCCGCCACTTCAGGCCTAGGCATCGGAGCTTCGTGCTGAGAAGCTCGAGTGGAAGGACGCATGGACAGAGCTTGAGGAGAGGCATGCGAAGCCAGATGGCCTGGTAAACTCTGCAACAGCTTCTGCGTTCGATGACTCCTCTAAAACTAGTCCTTTCGTCTTAAAGTTCGCTCCAGCAGATACCAGACTGCACGTCAGAGGCGAACAGCAGCAGTCCTGTGAATCCTTCCAATCGCTCCACCGTCACAAGCAGCGTCATCAAGATAATCTTCTTGCCATCATCATCTTCTTGAGTTCCCTTGCAGCAACCTGCCACTGAGTTCCTTGCTGATACTATCATCCGAGCAGCTGTACGAGCATTCCTGGACAGGGTTGGAGTTTCAAAGTCTCCGCTCTAGCAAATGACAGAGAACGTCGAGCGTAGTCTGTCTTATAGTCTCCGCAGCATCTCTCTGAATCCGATATCCCCCACCGTCACGAGCAGCTTCAGCTATATCATATTCTCGCCATCTTGCATCGTTCCTCGCTGAAGCTGTGGACAGCCTTGGAGCATTATACCGCAGCAGCACCTCCTGAATCATCTCCGTCGACTGGGAAGCTGATCAGATAGACCCCAGACAAGTCCAACTTTATAGTCGTTGAACACCAGCCTCCTTAGCTGCTTGACTGGAGAGCTTTGACCAGAGTGCAAGCTCGATTCTTGAGTTTCCTTGCAGCAATCTCGTCTTGATCCCTTCCTAAGCTGCATCCTGGTTCTCGCCATCATCTCTTCTTGAGTTTCACTCGGAGCTGCTCAACTGGTCGGGGATGTTGCTTGCAGTGGCATACATCCCAGCTTGCGTACTCTGATTGAAGAGGAAGCTCTCCAGCAAAGAGCAGTGATTCTCGAGCAGTGACAAAACACCGTCCACTCCTGTTTCCAGTCTCGTTTCCAGTCTTGTATTCTCGTCGTTCCTTGCTGATAATCCTCCGACCATGTTGAGAGAAACCATGACCACAACCATCCCTTCCCTCGACATTGGCTTCCGCGAGCGAAGTCACCCCAGCTCTCTACAACAAACACGGGAGTTATTGGCAAACCGCCCGAATCCAAAAACTAACGAAAAGAAAAGCTTGCCTGTCTTCTCCAGAATTCTCGGACGAAGTCGTCTCCCGCGCGATCACAGATCTCCTTGGCCACTTTCACAAACACCATTTTGCCGGATTTGCTCTTCCTCCACGGCTTCGATTCTTCAGGGATTTTATCCAACTCCCTCTGAAGCCTCGCCATCTTCCGCGCTCTCTGGATCCTTACGCTGTCGCTAGATTTTCCGTTCAGTTCTTCGTACGTCAACTCGGCGAGCCTGATCAGAAGCTCCAATGCGCGGCAGCTCCAGGTGGCCCCCTCCTCGACCTCAACCACGTCCTCGTCCCTGACCTCGTCGTCGATCTTCTGGCTGCTCTCCTTCCTCTTTAGCTCTCTCGACGCCTCGTGAAGAGCTTCCAGGCGCCGGAACTCCAGAAAGCCCCCTCGCCCATCCTGGAGTCGGCTGCTGCGTGCCGTCGGGGAGAATGATCTGCGCTGATGGAGAGAAGCGAACAGTCTTGGGCCTGGAACCTGGAAGTCCGAGAGACAGTGGTTAAGTCACGGAAGAAAGGACGAGAAAGAGACAAACCAGACCGGCTGGCAGCAAAGCTGGCTTGGTTGGCTGCTCCTTTTCTGGCTCTTGATCCTTGGTTGGCTGCTCCTTATTTTGTGATGAAACCTTGGTGGCAGAGAGTATGTGTGCTTGGTAACAAGATGCAGCTCAACAGCAAACATGAACAAAATTGACTTTGCATTTTCCTGCACGACATAAAGCATAAGCTTTAAGGAGAATGATAGGCACTTACCTTGTGAATTCAATGCTCTTGAAGTTTTGTTATGTCAGGAAGTTTGCATGTCAAGAATGGCACATCTAGGGTAAACATCTAAACATTCACCGACAAAGAAAACGCATAAAGACTATTTACTTACTATAGCTACCGTCTCATTTCTTTGTGAAAAGTTTTCGGAGGTCAGATGGTATCTGGTAGTTGGTTTGATCAGCACTCTCAAGCTGGAAGCATTCTGGAACAAGTCCCTGGAGCTGGTTTCTACTCACGTCTAGATGCTTGAGAGATGAGAGTGTGTAAACATCTTCCGGGATAGACTGCCAGATTAGACTAAACGAACGCATTAATGTGAAATAGATTTAGTAAGGGTTAGGGCATTAAAGGCATTTTGCAAAGGGCAAGCTATGGCGCGAATAGAGCAGGAGCGCAGTGGATGCGTCACAGGTCTGTGGTCTCTCTTCCGACCAAAAAACGCGCACAAGGGCGACAAAAAGGTCCACCCGGAAGCCATGGACGCGGCGGCCTCGAAGCTGAAGGTCCAAGATCGTGTCTGTGAGGCCGTCTCGGGAGAAGCCATGGACGCCGCCGCCTTGAAGTTGAAGGAACTCAGGCACGAGGTGAAAATCGTGTTAGAAGCGATACGACAGGAGCGAGGGCACAAGGAGCCGATCAAGCCGATCAAGCCGGAACAAGAGAAGGAGGACGAAGAGGAGAATCAAGAGAAGAAAGCGGAGCAGCTGAAGGAAGAGAAGAAAGCCGAGCAGGTGAACGAGGAGGAGAAAGAAGCCGATCAGATGAAGCCGATGAAGCTGGAACAAGAGGAAGCCGAGAAGCAGCTGAAGGAGGAGGAGCAAGAGAAGAAAGCTGAGCAGCTGAGCGAGGAGGAGCAGGAGAAAGAAGCCCATGAGACGAAGGAACTCAGGCGCGAGGTGAAACAGGAGCAAGGTCACAAGGAGCAGCCGCAGCTGGAACGAGAGGAGAAGAATCAGCCGATCAAGCCGATCAAGCCGATGAAGCAAGAGCAGGAACAGGAGGAGGAGCAGCAGATGAAGCCGATGAAGCAGCAGCTGGAACACGAGGAGGAGCAGACGATCAAGCCGATCAAGCAGCCGCTGGAACGGGAAGACGATCAAGAGAAGATGAAGCAGCAGGAGAATGACAAGCCCAATCAGGAGGAGCAGCGACCCAAGCCAATTCTACTGCCAGCCGGGGGTCGTCGTCCAGGTATGGTTCCTTTTGCTTCTCGCATTCTTCTTCTATTGTGACTCACGATGGCCTTCTGGACTTGCAGGTTCCAGGCCGAAGATGGTTCGCTTCTCTTCCTCAGCGGAGGACATTCTTCCCGACGGCACCCGACGGCGGAGTGAAACCCATCTTAGCGATGGCCGAGGGGGATATGTTGAGTTCGCGTATCTCGAAGCTCTCCACAAGGCAAATCGGTGGCTAAACCAGAGGGGAAAAACCGAGAAGAAGATCTGCAGCTTGGAAGAGGAAAAGCGCGAGGAAACAGAAGAGGAGAAGTACGAGGAAAAGTCTTGGAGTGTTAGCGCGCTCCGGATTCTGATCAGACTCACCGAGCAGCTTTACGAGGAGCTCAACGGCAAATCTAGCGACCGAGAGAGGATCAAGCGAGCGCGGAAGATGATGAGGCTCCAGAAAATGCTGGATAGGATCCCGAGTGAGAGGAAACCGTGGAAGAAGCTTCAGTCCGGCGAGGTGGTCTTCGTGAAGGAGGCAAAAGAACTATATGATCGTGCGGGGAGAGATTTTGTTGCCGAATTCAAGAGGAGACAGGTAAGTTTGATATACCTTTCAGATTCCAGATGGCCGTTTGCTAATAACTTCCGTGTTTGTTGTAGAGAGCTGGAGTGAACGATGAGTGTTTGTTTTGTCGGAACCATGATGGCGAGAAGATGATCGGCCGGGCTGGGGTGAACTCTAAGACGACTAGACCCTGGGTTTATCTGAGAAGAGAACACGAGCAAACTGTTCTAAGCACGTCGAAGAAACGAGAAATGAAGTTGGCTCCGAGCTCGAGAAGTTGGCTGCAAGGATTGGTCAACTGGAGGCCAGTGCTCGGACTCTAGCATCGGAGAAGCCAACTCTCAAGAGTCGAATCCAGAAGTTGGATCTCCAAGCAAGTTGAGCAGCACACAGGCCACTAAAGCTATAGACCATCGACCTTCTCGAGAACTCGACTCCAAAGGTTCGCAGCTGTCCGAGACGTAAAAGTGGTGGGTGACGACCGTGTCTCGGGGCTCGAGGCGGAGAAATCCATCACACTTCGGGCCTCTAAACAGGCCAGCGACCAGCCTCCACACTCTTCTAAGTCAAGAGAAGATCAATGGATCAAGTTGGACTACACTCTACAGTGTCTGGAGCAAGGAGGGATCTATCTTATCAGCTTTCCAGTGGATGGAGATGATTCAGGAGCGCCTGCTACGGTAAGGCTGTCCATGATAGTAGTGAGGAACGACGTAAACCAGTGCCAGATGGCTGCAAGATGGCGAGAAGACAATGTTGCTGAAGCTGCTCGTGACTAAGGAGAAGCCCCAGGGGATAATGGCTGATGGAGTCGAATCCGCTGCACGAGATGTGGAGCTCTCGGTGAGGAGCACGTCGAGAAGAGGATGGCGGAGTTTGGAAGCTCAAAGGTGAGCCTGAAGAAGCAAGTAACTGGCAGCTGATGGAGAGGATCACGGCTCGAGGTGCTGGAGGAGAGAGAGACGTGCCGGATTGAACGAGGAGCTCTGAAGGATGAAGAAGACAAGCCGAGGAGAACCAATGAGAGAGCACATGGAGTGCCGAGCTCCAGAGGTTTGACGGATCAGATGGACGCTACATGCGACAATAAGGAGCATCTGGCTTCGCAGGGAGCTGTGTTTTTGCGTGGTTCCACTCGAGCTTCTCAGCACGATCAAGGCCTAAAGTGGCAGAAGCATTCCCTAACTGTCAGAGGTTCTAAGCACGTCGAAGAAACGAGAATGGAAGTTCGAGAAGTAACCAGCTCTCGAGAGTCAAATCCAGAACAGAGGTGCAAGCCAAGTATATTGAAATCTCTGGCAGCTCGAGCAGCACAGGGAAGCAGTAGCAAGCCTCCAAAGCACCAGAGACTAGTCTCCACACTCTTCTAAGCCAAGAGAAGATCAACCTCTTCTAGGAGATATGCGCCTCGACTCCAAAGTTTTGGAGCTGTCCAAGACGGTGGCCGAGATGAAGCAGCCCAAGCTGTCGAAAGTGGCGGGCTCTGGCATGGAGCAGAGTCCATCAAACGTTGGCGTGAGAACAGCGAGATGAAGGAGAAGATGAGATGCCGAGACGGATCAAGACAAAGCTCTCTAGTTGACGGAAACGGGACGAGAGCTTCAATGCTGTCCAGGATCGCTCTTACAGGTGCTTGGATGATAGAAGATGATGATGGCAAGATGATCTCGAACTCGAAGAAGCTGCTTGTGGCGGTGGAGCCAGAGGGTCGGATTCACAAAGACTGATGTTCGCCTCTAACATGCGGAGACTACAAGAGCTGGAGCGAACTCCAAGATGAAGCAACAGTCATAAAGACAGAAGATCGGACGAGTTTCATGGAACGTGGAAGCTGGTGCAAAGGTTACTAGGCAATTCAGAGGTTCAATGGCCACCTTTACAATCGAGCAATCTGGACTGAGGGTATGTAGAGTCATTCGTTTTTTCCTCTTCCATTCATTTCATCCGTGTTGTTAAACAGGAGAAGCAAGCTACAGCGACACACAAATTGTGATGGTAGCTCCTTTAGTATCAGCAACAAATCCTATGGTATTTTTTTTGTTTTTTCTTTTCTGCTCTGGTGGAATATCTTCTGCGGTCCAACTTGGTCCAGATCGTAGGAGGCCGTCTTCGAGACTAAATAAATAAAACATCTCAGAGACTACGCTAAGGAGCTGGTTATTCTGGCCAACTTGTGAGTATAACCTTGAGAGATTATGTTTGTTTTCTATTTAGAAAATAGTCTGACTTTGGTCCAGATCATAGGAGGCCGCCAGAAGAATATGTAAATGAGGGTGGAGCAGGACTTGAAGCAGCGAAAGATAAAACCAGCGTCAGAGATCATAAGAATTGTGGAAGGGAAAAGCGTAAGTTGATTTTAAAACTTGGAGACAAAGGGAGCAGGCTGAAACAGCTAAGATCGAGCAGCAAAGATTGAGCAGCTTAAAGACGAAAAATTTCTTAAACCAAGCAGGGACAGCAGCTTTAAAAATTGAAGTATTAATTTCGCCCAGCAGCAGCTTCAAAAAGCAAAGAGGAAGCAGCTAAAGAGCAGTGACAAGTTTGATCAAGCAGAACAGCAGAATAGTTGATAGTTTTTTTTCATATAATTTTCTTTGATCTAGCTGTAATTTAATGTTCAAATTTATAATGTTTCAATCTCTGAAAGGTCCGAGATCCGACTTTGATCCTAGCAACAAGATGATACCTAGAGCACGCTAGGGCTCGGCAGCGCGGCCACTTGGCAAGGCATCCCCCGAAAAACTCGTGAACTTTACCATGTAGACCGAGTATTTGCAATGTCTAGACTTGAGGATCTTCTTGTACGTTCGCAAGGATTCCTGATAAGTTTGTCCTCGTAACTTGATTAGAAAATGGAAAAGCAAATCCAGCTCAGGAAAATAAGATTCTTATGTAGTTTGGATAGCGAAGGTGTTCGACTTTCTAGGCACCCAAGAGTCTGAGAACACGACACCACGTTAGAGCAAGAACTCAGGAGCTAATATGTACGCACCTCCAGTTGTTCCATATGGTATAAAGCCATTTGACTTGGTCTAGAAGGTTCTGAAAAGGCTTGCCCCGTCAAGTTTTACCTCCTTCCAGACTGTCAAAGTCTTACCATTGTATGGGAAAAAACTAAATTTCTGCACGTTGTGATCAATAAAACTTGTAAGATTGCTGTACATGAGCATCAAAGAAAGCTTCAAATCGTAAACGAGAGTCTAAAGGCCATTGCGTTCGTAACAATTGGCAAGAGCCTTCACCTCTGCAATTTCTTGCACTTAGTTTGATAGATAGATCAGCAATGCAACTTTTTACCAGCCTCCACACACAAGCACTCTTTTAGATACTCTTGTATAGGAAATTTATAGTAGAAACACTTGTCTTCGTTTGGTTATTATAAATAAAAGTTCATACTAAATACTGATTAAATTGAGAATTCTCCATATTTTGTAATCCAAGTAGAAATTTGATTATTAATTGACTCCTTTTACTCTTTACATTTAGCCTTTGACATTTTTCTTTATTTATTTTTTATGTTGCAAGTTTATTTTTTATGGATTCTACAAGAATGCTAATATTTAAAGCAATTGTTATTTGTAATAAAGTTTTATTACTTTCACTATTATGTTATTTTTGAGAAAATATTATAAGTTAATATATATTTAGTTACAGACACAATATAAAGGTATTCTTAAAACATAACACCATACTTTTTTACAACTACTAAATTTTTTACAAATGCATTAGCTGATGATAATATATATTTTATCTAAAAAACATTTAAATGATGATATTTTAAAATTCTCAACATATCAATTAATTTAAATTTTTTATAGTAAGTTGTACAATAAAATTATTAAAAATTTACATAACTTAAACAAATAAAAACTAATTTGAATATATCTAATACTTAACTTTGTTACCTTGAAATTGTAAAATTTATATAAGCATCAAATTAATCTATTTAGATACAAGCTTAAATGTTTTGGCCAAATTTTTATCTTGGTATATATATTATTATTATAACATTGAAAAATGATGAATTATTATAAAATTATAATTAAAATATTAAAATGACTTAAATTTGTTAAAATTAAAAGTTAACGAAGCTATTTTTATTATCCACAATTGATATTTGTTTTCATAACATGGAAGCTACCAACTTATGTAAATAAGGTATCTGAAAAAACAATAGTGTGCTAGAGACACACTATAAATGTCCTTGAGTAATAGAAAATGTAAAATACTGACTCAATGTGAATTATGCTGAGAGCTACAAGTCATTGTATACTAGCAAGGAATTTATAAGCAACCAAAGGAAACAACTTAAGAATAAGTTTTTAGAGTTTTGAAATAAAAGGGAAAAACATATAAATAAAATTGCACTATTTTTTTAATCAATTAAAGGTGTTGAGATATTATGGAGTTATCTGAGTGCTACTAGGATGAATGACTTGTCAGGAAGTATATATTTAGGAGCTTACAAAATTTAGATTAAATAACTTTCCAAATATATTTTATTAAAATGGAAAATAATAGCACAATAGCAAAATTGATTTAAAATTAATTAAATATATGGTTTTTGTATTCTTTAATAAATCATGGTATTTAAATAGGATATTTATATGAAGTGAAAACTCCAACAACACTATCACAAGCAAGTACAGAGAAGCACTGCTTCCTAAGGATTAAAATTTCCCTACTATGATATTAATTATCATTGCTATGTAGAGGTTTATCCTCCTTAACACTGACATCATCAGCAGTGCCAATATTATTTTCTATCACAACACTCACTTGCTCAATTATTCTTTACTTCCCCCAAGGCCCTTCTTTTGTATTTTCTCTCATTCTCCCATCAATGTTAATATTGTCCTCCAATCCTTTATGGTGGAAAACTATCCAAGGGTAATCTAGGATCAAAGAAAAGTGACATTAACATTAGTGATAGAAATGTTTAGGAAAGTAAGAAAATCAAAGATTTTGTGTTTGTAATTACTTCTCTTTTTTCCATTTTTCAATTATAGTTTTAAAGTTTTGCCTATAAACCTCATAATTATCCTGCTATTGGTAGAAGTGCCCTTATAATAAAGTTGGGTAGACTCACTAGTCCCTCAAAGGGGTCTTTTTTGAAATCCAAGAGCACTTGATTCCTCATTGTTGTTAAGAGTCCATAATAGAAGCATATGATTTTTAACTCTATGGCTTTCTGCTAGCCAATTCACCAAATTCACCTAGGTGTTAGGATCAAAAATTACACAATAAATAGAATATTGAACACATACCATTGGCCAGCTTGACTAGAAGAGCTTAACAAAATTGCCAGAATTTCCAAAACACTAGGTTAGAAGTGACTTTAGCA